TCTGTGACAATGGTAATGTTCTCTATCTGTAGCCAAAACATGTGGCTACTGAGCATTTGAAAGATGGCTAGTGCTGAAAATTTAAATTATAAATTATATTAATTCATTAGCACATATGGCTAGTCACCTATTTAACAGTGCAGCTGCTATCTCTCTACATTTCACCTCAACCACTCCATTTCATCTATCTTTTTATTTCATTTCTCTCCCCGTTTCATCCCACTCTCTATTTATACCCCTATCTTCATTATAGCTACCTTTATATATTGAATTTATGTAATAAATATGTACCATAATATTTATATACATCTTTATTACATAGTTATATGATATAGACTAAACTAGGTTTTATATATTTATTATATCTTAATATATCTTCTCTATAAGTTCTAAAAGGAGAGAAAAGTGGCCACTCAGTCTAATATCTTAAAACAGAAGTCAAGAGCAGAATGTTTAAGACTGAGAAAGGATCTAAGGTCAGGACCTACTCTGCTTTTGTTTTTTTCTACAGAATAGAGTGAAAATCTAAGTCAGGCAAAAAAATAATGTGAACACCACACTTTAATAGAATCCATCTCTTAACATAATCAATTACATTTCAGAACACTGGAGTAAAAGGTAGGAAACACCTAGACCAACTTGATTTCTGAGATAATTACTTCCAAGAAATCATGAAAAACTACCAAAAGAATGAACACCAAAGAATACTGCACCTAATTTTGAGGAAGCAGATTGTATAAACAACAGACAAGAATGCCTGATGCAGGTAAGTCAGAATCTCAAAAAGTGATTAACCTATTGTTTAAAGAAGTTAGGAATCCAGGTACAAATTACTGAGATGCTAACAATATAAACACTTTCTTGCTGAGAAAACTATAGATATTAAAATATTGCAGGTATGTTACATTCTTTTAGAGTATCCCTATATATGACATAAATTCACTGGTTAAATGGTAAGACAGATGAAAGCAAGCTAGAAAACCCCCAAGTTTTTTTGTTTGTTTGTTTGGGGCTGGAACTTCTGAAGTGCTTACTTGCTCGGCAGTTTTAAGCACTAATTCATTTTAATCTCATAATAACCATATAAAGCAGGTGTAATTATTATCCCTATTTTGCAAACGAGGAAACTGAAGTACAGAGAGGTAAAATGCTTTGCCTAATGTCACTGAGTAAGTGGTGAGGCCAGAATTTCAATACAGGCAATCTAGTTTCAGAGTTTCTACTCTACCACAAAGCTAAATTGCCTCTCAAAGTGTTCACTGATCTAAAACCAAAGTCAGCCAACAAAAATTTCTAACCACAGGTCAGTGTTTTGGGCCTTCTATCTTCAACACATAAAATTATGTTCATCTATAACTTGGAATATATCCTTAAAAATTTTGCAGAAGAAACAAAGCCAAGAGAGCCAAAACAAGAAATGACAAGTCTGTAAAAAACACTACAGGCTGAAACACTAAGATAATAAAGGCACATATTTAACAAATTAATTATATGAGAATATGATGAACAAATCCAAGATTAAGAATGGCTGATGTTAAAAAAAAGAGGTCTGTAGTCCCAAAATCAGCAAAAGCAAAAAAAAAAAAGAAAAAAGAAAAGCCAGTACAACACTGTCAAAAAGATGTACTCTGGAGTATGTATTAAAGAATAAAAAATGTAAAGACTCATTATATATTTTACTTTTCTTACTGAATTGATCCTTAGCTCCTTTCTCAGAGCCCATACTTCCATTAAACATATATTTTCAAATATTTACTTGCATAATTTCTAAACACATTAGGAAGAGTAAAAGGGAACAAAAAATGCTTTAAGTACTCATTGCCAGCAATAAAAAAATATATAGCTTTTCAACAAAGAAACACATAAAAAGTAGACAGTAGCTAATTAAACAGTATTTTATATTTGCATTAAATAGGTCCAAATACCCCTGTAGACTTTGCCAAGCTTCAGAGGCATGTTTATTTTACAGTTGTTATGGACATTTATACTGCTGATTCTCCTATAAGTCACTTTAACAGGGCAAACTGTGCCTGCTGGACCCTCAGGAGCACAGAAGATCCAGGGACCACGATAACTGAAGGGGTACTACATGGTGTGGCTGGTATGCTGGCAAAGTAGAGGCAAGGTTCCAATAAGGTCTGGCTGACTTGGCAAACTTAAAAAACTCTAGCACTAATAAATCCCCTAACTCTGATTCTCTTCTGACTTAAATCAGAGCTGTAGAGTTTGTGAACTGGCCAAGTAAAAGCTGTAAGTCCCTTTTTCAATAGAGACCCATAAAAATTCTGACAAAACAATTCCCACTCCTGACATTAAACAAACAGGCTGTAAGCACAACAAAAAAACAGCAGCAACAACAAAACCCATGGAAAATACTAAAAGAAAATGATAGAAATGAGAAAAAAATGATGAGAAAAGATGAACAATGTGGAGTAGATTCACAAGAGTCAATATACATGTAATAGAAATTTAAGGAGAAACTATAAAAAATTGAGAAACAAAAATAAAAGGCAATTTAGGTCTTCCCAATAAAAGGGTACATTAAATATCAAGCAAAATTAATGAAAGACCAATATCCTAGATATATGTCAAAGTGTTAAATGTGTAGGAAAGGGGAAAAAAATACAGTAACTACACCAAAAGAAAAAAGTGACCTAAGAATTCATTATTCAGTCAAGCTATTGTTCATGAGTGAGCAGAAATGAAAGCTACTCTCAAACATGCAAGGCCTTTTACTACTTTTGTGACCTGTATACCTTTGTCCTTTATTTCAATATAATTGACTGGAATAACTTTTCAAATAAAAATTTTAAAGATAAATGCATGAATAATGATAATCAAACATTTAAAAAAAATGATTTTTTTACATATCAATAAAAGGATTTAATAGCCTATAAACAAAACTGGTCTGCAAGGAGGAAAGAGAAGAAAGAAACTAAGAGGGCTTTATTCTAAATTATACATATTCAATATCAATAGTAGGTTGTGATTTTATTTTTATTATGGATTTTTGGTATCTTCCACATATTCCCCAATGCATGAAAGTGCATACGTGTGTCTCTCTATGTGTACAAACACATATACATATATACTATGAATACTTGTGCAAAATTTGAATACTTGTGCAAAATTGAATATTTGTGCAAAATTTCTTAAAAAGGTATAAAAAATAAATTTCTAGCAATTGTCCAGAAAATGAAAAAGACTACTCTAAAGCAGTGTTCTCTCTTCGCATCAGAAACATCAAGCAGAAGCTAGTTAACCTAACATATTTTGGGAAATGTTCTAGAATAATTTCCAGACTAAGTAGATTAGATGATCTCCAAACTTTTTTTTTTTTAAGGTGAGGCAACCCTTGGTTGACTTCACAAATTGCAAGGACCTTGTCAGCTTACAATCCCTATTTTTTATTTTTTATCCCTACAGCACCTGGTCTTCCTAGGTGGTCTCCCATCTAAGTACTAACCAGGCCCGACCCTGCTTAGCTTCAGAGATCAGATGGGATCGGGCTTGTTCAGGGTGGCATGGCCGTAGCCCAAACTCTTTCTAGTAGTAAATGTCATCAACCTAAAACTTTACCATCATTTTACAACACCAAAAAAACCCAAACAATTTGATTAAAAAATAGACAAAGGATCTGTAAAGACACTTCTTCAAAAAAGTTAAAACAAATGGCCAACAAGCATGTGAAAAGATGCTCAGTATCACTAATTATTACGCAAATGCAAATCAAAACCACAATGAGATACTACCTGAACAACCATTAGGATGGCTACTATCAACAAAGAGAAAAACAAGTGCTGACAAGAATGTGGAGAAAATGGAACCCTGTGCACTGTTGAGAATGTAAAATAGATGGTATGCTGGTTTCTTAAAAAGTTGCAAATAGAATTACCATACGATCCAACACATGAAAAATAAAATAAAGTTCTTCCTCTCATAGACCTCGCATTCTAGTGGTTGGTAGAAATGACAAATAAGTACTCGAACTTAAAAATTTTCAATTAGTGATAAGTACAATGAAAGAAAAATAAAAATCAAAAAACAAAATGATAATGTAATACAGTGGGAGAGAAAGGGGCAAAAGAAAGAGTAGGGGGAACCAGATGAAAGGGGTAAAGGACTATGAAGAGGTGACACATGAACATAAACCTGAATGAAAAAAGGAACTCAGATAAGATCAGGAACAGAGCATTCCAGCCACTCTGTTAGCCATTAGCAAAGCAAAGACCCTGTTATTAGAACAGGCTTCACCTGCTTGAAGAGTAAAATGGATGTTTGTGAGATGGTACAAGTAGAGATTAAATGGAGACTCATGACTAGTGATCTTGGGTTACATATAGAGTTTAAAATAAGATCCCAAAGTGTAACGGAAAAAAATGAAAAGTTTTTATCATGAGACCTGAGTTCTTCTTACCCGTGTTGTTCAAGGGTCAACTGTAGTTTTATTTAATAAAACACCAAAGGTCTTCCATTTGTATAACAAGCTGAACTCATGTTTATCTCCACTCCCTCCAAAAAGCCACTAAATTAATAATTTATAAAGGCAGAAACCCACAAGGACGGAGAAGAAGGAACTACAGTACATATGTCAAGAAACTTTTGGAAGATGGGAAGAACTGAAACAAGGGATAATGACCAAAAGTAATGTAATTCACCCCGAGAAACTTTGGATAGGCTCACAACTTTGAGGTACCAAGCTCCCTGAAATGTAATGGTGAATCTTAAGGTTGACAATAAGGATTAATTGAAAATCTTTACATCAGTCTGTGAAAACTCTTGTCCCATAGAGCCAAAAAATGGAGGATAAGAAACCAAGCCCAAGATTTGCAATTGGAGATCCAAACACAAAAATAAGAAGTACCTCACTGATCTGAAAACAGATCCCCTGTTATCTACCCAGCAAATCTAACTTCTCTGGAGAAAATGGATGGCCCAGTAGAGAAAACCTATAGATAATGATATTTGGGAATCATCAAAGACAATGATCTAGTACAATCTTACTGTAAGTCAGGTTGGTAACATGTATCAAGTCTTTAACATGAGTCAGCAATTTCATCTTTAGGAATTTATCACAAGAGATAACAATAATATATGAGTAAAGAGTTAACTACAGAGATGTTCACTGTAGTACTCTTTATAATGTTAAAGCAATAGAAACACTTAAGTCATAAAGAACACACAGCAGTTAAATTATTATACATCCATACGTTAAGAAGGAAAAGTGACATATGATGCTTGTAATAGATCACATGAAAAGGACAGTATGCAAAATACATGGAGCCAATACATAGTACCTAAGCCTTTTGCTTATGTAGTTTTCCTATGATGAAAATAAATTTACTCGTATAATCAACAAAAATAAGTAAAAGATTACACAATTCTTCAAAAACGAATAAATTAACCATTAAAAATTTTAGACTTAACAATATTCAGATCTCCAAAAGGAACCATTAAGAAGCTAGTTACATATGTTCCTCTGAAAAATCCATATAGCTCCATCTTATCAAATTACTTCTAAATTTAATCAATATGATTTCAATGGAAAAACAGAGTAAAATGTAAAGAAATAACTAATCACAGATGAATGATTATGGAATCAGTTCCCCATATTCTTATAACTACGCTCTTGAATATTTGTAAAATGATAAATCAATAAACATCAAAAAGCTACATGCAGATAACACCTTCAGCAATAGATTCTAAATTTGCATTTTTAGTGCTATATATATATGTGTGTGTGTATATATATACATATAATCATTCTTATTTCCTATATTAAAAGAGCATGACATCAGAAATTTCTAATCATTAAATTTCTCACGCAAAACAAAACTTATCTTAAGCATTTAAAAAAAAATGTAACAAACATTTTGGAAAACAAAAGTTTTATAGAAGTAAGCACTCTTGAAAAACCTGGAAAATACCATCTAGCAGATAGAGGTACAGACAACAAAAGCAAACAATATGTCCGAAAACGGAAGAGGCCAAGTAAATTAAGAAGTGCCTACTTAGCTGTCAACTGTAATTGAAAAATAATTTAATAAAAATGATCTCCTTAGCAAAATGCTGACATTTAAAATATTAAATTTGAAGAAAAATATGTATAAAATAAGTGGGAAGTAAAAACTCATACACACAATCATGATTAGTTAAAATTATAGATGCAAACAATACCGAAAAGTAATATAAACAAAAATCTACTGTGTAATTAGAGGGGGTAAGTCAAATGGTCCAGTAGAAAAAGGGACTACATTCCCATGTATATGTAGGAATTATGTGACAGAAATGGCATTTTACAACATAGCAAAAGACTGAGTCATTAATCATTAATCAATAAATGGTGAGAGGTCATTTACTACCACTATCAAACAGATCCCAACATTATACATACCATAAACAAAAAATCCTACTGGATAACATTAGGAAAAAAAAACTATAAAAAAATAGCAGTGTATTTTTATAGTTATGAATTTAGAAGGTTAATTATATCTAGAAAGCTCAGAATCTATAACGGCAAAGACAATTATTAACACACAAACTTGGAACCAAACAGAAAAGTAGTGAAAAGATACAGGAATTTAGAGAAATAAAATGGCTAATATGTTTGAGATGATCAAACTGAGTGAACAAAATAATAATTTTTAACCTATAAGTAAAAATTTAAAAGATCATTGACATTCACTGTGGGCAAGATTGTACAGGAAAAGATACACTCATATTGCAAGGAATTTAAAAAGGCAGAATCTTTTAGAGGGCTTGAGTACACTATCAACACTTAAAACATATACTGCCTTTGAACTAGCTATTCTATTCTACTTCTGGAAATCAATCCTGCAGAGATCCTTGCACAACTATACAAACCTGATATTATCAGGTATTCTCTATAGTACTACATATAATGCACAAAACTAGTAAAAGCAACTCAATGGATAGAATCTGATACCATGAGAAGAGAAAAAGACTTAAATACACTAAACAAACAATATTCATACAATGAATACTATGCCCTCATTTTTTTTAAATGAGGTAAATCTGAATATATTGATGTAAGACTGCAAAAGATATATATACACTGTCCTCTCTGACAGCTTTCCCATCCTGAATTTTAGAACTTGGAACTATGGCTGATTTTTCCTTTAAGGGCCATCCAAACTGGGATTTCCAGAAAACCAATTTTCTATAGAAGCCTAGCAATTCAAAATAGATCAATGTTCTATGAGATAGGTATTTTATAAAAGCATGTTCCGTTATATCTACTACATCATGAAAAAAAGAATTCAAAATTGAGCAAAGATATGGAAGAATTTCTGATCTCTATATTGCCTCTTCTCCAAAAACATCAAAATCAAAATGTCATTTTAAGTTCTCTATCCATGAATACCTTCTAAAGTAATAATCTAGGTGAATAATAATTTATGCAATAATTTCAGCTTCTGAATGGTGAAATATGATTCCCATAGTAATCTATGAAATAGATTTCTAAATATAAATTAGATTTATCCATAGTCTATTTTAAATTATCTACTTAATAACCAGGTAAAATTAGCCACAAGTTTCAAAAATAATTTCCAAAAGTTTTAAAAACACTTGTTTTCATTCATAACAAATGCTTAAATAGTGGCCTCCTTAATAAATATGAAATAGCCAATTCCTGAACTGATACTTTAAATTTATGTCTCATTAAAAAAAACAAATAAACAAAAAACAATGACACATTATTACCTGGTCAATCACAGCTGATGTTCAAAAGTGTGATCCTTAAAACTACCTGATATATCATAGCTGATATGGCAAGTATAAATCTTGACCTCTTAAGTCTCAACTTTAAAGTGATGCCACTTAGTACAAATAATGTCTACATATATCAAATTATTTTCTTATTTTCTGACAAAGGCATGACTTAGTCATAATTGATAACTTACAAAGAGTTCCATGGAATGACTTCCTATTTTATCTAAAACCTAAATATTTCTTTATTTGTAAAAAATGTTTAACATAATTTAAGTGATTTCTTTATGATAAAATCCAGTCAGGCTGGAAAAAAACGTTCCTAGAAGGTTTTATTTCAAGACAGTGATTACCTCTGAGGAAGGAGGAAGCAGAAACAGTTGAAGAGACTGGATTTTGCTGTAATCTTAAATTTACATAAAAATGAAAAGCAAGTATGTCTTTTTGGAGGCAAATTCCCTGGGTTCTAAACAATTCACTATCTCATTGTGACCTTGGGCAAATTATTTAATCTCTGTGCCTCAGTTTCCTTACCTTTAAAATGGGGATAATACTTAAATAGTGAAGTGCTTAGAATAGTACCTGACACATGGTAAATGTTATTGCTGTTATCATCAGCCTTACCACCTATCACTACCAACTATGAAATCTAGTTGGAAAGTCCTGGAAGAGGTAGGAGGTGGTAACTGATTTATTTTCTACACTTACATTTCAAACATAAATTCTATTTTTGTAACCAGTGAGAAAGCAGTATAAAATAGAATAACAAAGTTGCAGTCTTCAAATTTCAAAAACATGAGACAATACAGGCTTTGGAGTTTGATATTTATTTTTAGCAGGAAGAATATGCTAATGATGACGACACCGTTAGAAGATACGCCCATGTCCAATACCTGCAACAGAAGCTAAACAGAAGTTAAAGAAACCATACCAAAGACTAAAGACAAAAATTGTATGACATTACTTACCCTTAATTCTGCTAACAATAAAACAAGTAACAACATGTTTAAGGAAAGTTCCATTACAAAATCGAAAACTGTCAAGTTAACTATCAAAAGTATCTTTTTAAAAAATTCTATCTTTTCTTTTCTAAAAAGAATTGGGCAACCTCTCTAAAGGTAGAGCATGGTGCCAACAACTACGCTCTGAGGGTGTATATGTGAGCAGAGGAGGAACAAATTGAAAACAAGTAATGCTAAATTCAGAGGTAAGAATTCGTGGTGCGAGAGCTCTGCTGCTAGTACTTAATCAAGTAGCTGCTCTCACAGGCAGAAATGGCGACCACCTCTGGCACAGAGATTGCTGAAATAAGAACTAAACATTAATAAATAAAAGCAACTTAATTGAGGTAATATCATAGCTTAACTACAAATTTCAGAGAACTGTCTCTAAATAAAGAGATCCAGACAAATTAGAAATTCTCCTACATAAGAAATTGCTATAGTAGTAAAACAATCTAAACAAGAACTAGTCAAATGAAAGATTCTCTTAAAAGCACTTCTGACAATGGCTACACTGCTCATAGAAAATATGAGTTTCTTTCTTTTATTTTTACCCCTGCACCTCCGGACTTTCCATCAACAGTATCAATCATCACTCAATTTAAAGAAACCATTACTTTTTACCTAAGGGTTTGTATGAGCTGGGAGTGGGGTGAGAATATGTTAAGCAACAGACTCAAGGGTGAAAAAAAAGAAGTAACGTGACGATTACATTCCTGAGCAAAGCTGATGAACTGCTGAGAAACAGAGAGACTGGGACTAACATATCCAACACAAATTCTATATCCCAAAGTCTTTTAATTTCTTAAATGGAAAGATTGCATGTACTCAGAACAGGAATTAATTAAGTCCAACCATAATTTACTGTACTTAACACCAGACTTTATACCAACTGCTATTTTACCACTATTTTTGTTCTTGAAAATAAAGATTCAAACTCATAAGATAAATAAGTGTTACTGGAATAAATTTTAAATGCAACTAACTCTGCTAATTCCAAATTTCTAAATTTACTTAGGTAGGCTGATTTGATTCAAGTAGAAAGAAACTCATTAACGGAAAGAGTAGATTACCTGTGAGCCACTGTCTAAAAAGGTCTATGTCAAAAAAAAAATGCAAAATATGCAGGAACATTCAGGTATTTTAAAATTCCTACCAAAAAGAATATATTAAGTAAGCACTAAAGAAGTAAAAGGTTACGCACTTCCAATTTATGCTCTTTCTCTGCAAGGGCTTCCTTTTGACAACGAAGAAAATCTGCTAACATTCGAGTGAGTTGCTTCCTATCATCTATTTCAGCCGCCAATCTGCCGTTGTAATCTGCCAGCAACATACAAGCATCTTCTACCATTTTAGAGAGCCTTTCTCCAGATTCTTTATCTAAGAAAAGCACAAAATAAAATTATTACACAACAAAAACAATGCCATATGCTGTTCCCTCACTGAAAAAGTTCAGATCATGTTTTCTCTTCTTACCTGTTATTTTATCTAGTAGGGATACTTCTTGGACTTCTACAGGCAAAGAAGCTATCCTCTGATGAACTGCTGCATCACCTGAAGCAGCATTTTCTAGATCTTGTAATGCTCTAACGAGATCTAGAGTCTAAAAAGTTATACAGCTTTAGAACCAAAATAAATGAAGCTTAAACAAATACAAGTCTTTAAGTTTACTTCATATTTCTTTACCCTTATGAGATTTTTACTAGTTCAAAGTTTCAAATATAAACTACTTTCTAAGACACTCCATTTCTTTTGTACATTAAGGAAGAGAAGTTACACTATATTAGATACTGGAAATATATAAATTGGGAGCATATAAATGAGACATGGCCCTTGGCCATGAGGAGTTCATATTCTAGTGGTGGAGACAGAATGATAGTATAAAAATAATTATCTGACTATTAAATTGATGTGATTGATTTACATGCTGAATATACACAACAGTAAAAGGGAAGGCAGGCTATAACTTCAACCTGGAGAATACAAGTTTTATGTATGATATATTCATTATATCATCATTATTCGTGAGGATTTTTAAATATGAAATTGAATATTGGGGGTTGGGGATACATATTATCTTCTACCACAACACAGAAGAGTCTCCCAGATTCCATTTCTAAAAGATAAAATTAAAGTAAAAGAAAAATGTAGTTCTGGAGTATGTTTAAATACGGTATCTTCAACTATTCTATGGTTAATAAAATCATTAAAATATTACAAAGTTCCATATATCTGATGATTAATATTTACATTAATGCTTAATTAACCGCTATAGAAATTATTTTAGAATATTTTAATTGCATTGTTTCATATACCAGCTATAATTAGGAGAGAAAGTCAAGTCTTTGCTGGTGACTCTCAATTTATAATGTCTATAAATTCAGTCCAAAGAAAAATGAGTAAAATTTTTATTAGTCTCCATCCCCACCCCACCTCCTTTTTTCTCCCTTTTTTCCTTAATCTCTAAAACTAGATTCTGGAACACTAGGAAATTACACACATACTTGAAAAGCAGGAAATTATCAATTCTGTATATATATTAAGATGACACTGATAGCCAGTTACTAATTTTTCTTTATGTTATTCCCTTACAAA